TAGGATGGACCGACTTCTCGCATGCTCTAAACCCAACATTACTCTTTGCCACCCAACACTCCAACGCCTCTGGGATGCACAGTTTGTTTAGCCATTTTCGTTCTTCATGGGTGGAAATTGATAGATATCTTCCTGACCTCTTGGAGTGTATTTCCAATAACAAATATCCTGATTGTGTTCTGTGGACTGGTGACCATTGAGACATGCCATTAATATGCTTCTCCAGTGTATTCCTTACCCATCTTCTTCCTTCCTCATCCAACAAAATTTTAGAGAAGCGATGGAGATGGATCAAAGCAATGCTTGGGATAATAAATGCTTCAGCTGATCTTTATGAATCTCAATTTTTCCTCTGTTTCCACTACACTGACTTGCTTAGGGAACTTTCCGATCCACCAAGATATGCGTTCTAATTTGGACGTTGGATGGTCTACATCGATGATAATCAAAGTGAAACAAAACAGTAGCAAAATCCTATAATAATCAATTGAAAATATGACTTGGAAATGTTGGCATAATTCTAAAACAGTACCGAATTCAGAAAGAAGCCTTTCCTCTCACCACCTCAAAATACTTGCAAGAATTAGGTCATATCTGGTGACATAGGATTTTGATTATGAAGAATTAATTGTAGAAAAGTTCAAGGTTTCATGAAATCAATCCAACCTCAATGGAAGAATATTCTCTTAGACGTGGAAGATATTATGATCACTCTTTTGCAAGAAAATGATTACCTTAGTAGAGCTGCGCCTTCCAATACTGCATAGCATTCAAAGCGATAATGAAAAGATTTAGCTGATTGCTCATTAGTTAGTCGGGAGAGTTTTTGAAGGTTGTGCCATTAAGCTTAGACTATCTTTGTTGCAGGCAATAAAATTGAAGCTATTTGAGAGGAAATATTGCTTCTCCTTTATTTCCATCATGAATGGTGTGTACTTATACACCCTAAATGCTAACAAATCTAGCAAATTCTAACAAGATCCGAACAATTTTATGGGAAGGAAGAAATCTGTCTATGACTCTCTCTGTATACAGAATCTACAGCTAATAAAAAAAAAAATAGAAAATATATAACCTAATTTCTCCTTATTTTCTACACTTCCCCTCAATCTAGTTTACATATATGTTGAGTAAATTCAGATTAGATATTATGTCATCGAAAGTTCGTTTAGGTAGAGTTTTCGTTAGAATGTTCGCAATCTGTTGACTGATTGAAATGTGAATCAGTGTTATAGTATCATCTTCTAATTTCTCTTTGATAAAATGACGATCGATCTCCACATGTTTGGTTCTGTCATGATGTACAGGGTTCTTGGCCATACGGATAGTTGATTGATTGTTGCACCACACCTTCATAGGTACGTTGTTAAGAGCTTTTAATTCGACAAGTATTTTCTTTAACCACATACTTTCACATATACCATGAGTAAGGGTCCTAAATTCAGATTTTGCACTGTTATGAGATATAACTGACTGTTTCTTGCTTCGCCAGGTGACTAGGTTCCCCCAAACGTAGTACATACCCTGATTTAGATCTCTATCAATTGTATAGCCCGCCCAATCTGCATCAG